AAACTATAGTACAAAAATATTCGTCTTTTTAATTCATCGTCGTAAATGACACCAGACATTCATTTTCATTCTCTTAACTAGTAATCAGTACCACTTCAACGTCCAGTACAACTGTTCCAGTTATCACTGAGTTTTTATCGTCTTGGTTACTCTCGATTTCGTTACCGTCTTTTATTTTTCTTACTTAGATGTTCTACGTCTATGTTCAGCACCTAAATGGAATACAACAGCTGTAACAGTGGCCGGTATGAATGATGGGACATCTGGTGATGCATTAAATCAGCTTCATTTTCCAAAAGATATTGAGTTCGATGCATATGATACACTATATATCATTGATGAATTAAATTCTCGTGCAGTAAAATGGTATGTCAACGCCACTCAAGGAATTTTAGTTGTTGGTGGCCTAGGTATGGGTAATGGCTTGGAATATCTTAGTGATCCTAACAGCCTTACCATCGATTATCAACGAAATTATTTGTATATTGCTGACACGTTCAACTATCGCGTTGAACAATATTCGTTGAATGAACCGTTACCCTTGACAGGTACCATAATCGCTGGGTTTGCACTAGTAGAGAACGAAAACTGTAACAATATATTTTTACATCCAACAAATAAATTGTATATTTCATGCACGCTAACTGGTCACGTTTTACTGTGGGTAAAAAGGGGAATGGATGGGATCGTTGTTGCTGGTAATGTGTTTAAATTTTCTACACAATTAGAGTGCTAGACCTGCGGTTTTCATCATTCGAAAGAGGAAACTTGATGACATTTTTTTCTTAAGCAATATGATTCATAAAATCGTTTTTCCAAGAGTCTTGTGCTTGTCCCAAGAGCAGCACATTGTCATTAGATTAAGCATGGTTGATTAAGTTCTTGGGCACCTCAAGTTACCGGATGCCATTCCTAGGCTTCAACGAAATCCAATAGTACTCTCGAATCACTATAAATCAAGGTCTCATTTGACTTTATGAAGAAGCCACTGTGGAGTATCTACATGCTAGAAAAACCAGGACATTTTCTCACAAGTCGTCACGAAAGTCATCGTGGAAAACCAATTTTATGAGTCATTGTGCTTATGAAAAATTGTTACCCAGTCCCTTCTTTCAGCTGATGGAAACTCGAAGATCTTTAGTGGCCTACTTTTGAAAGTTGTTTGAAAAATAGTCACCCGTATCCTTTTAAAAAATGGATAGTACTTTACATTAAATCTACATTTAAGGTGGGAACGGTGCAGGGTCTTCGAACAATCAATTGTACTCTCCGATGGGTATTTTCGTCGATTCAAATTTTTCTATATACATAGCCGATTATGGAGCTCAACGTATTCAGCGATGGTTCAAAGATGCCATATCAGGTGAAACAGTTGCTTCCGGCGCACTAGGTGGGCCACAAAGTGTTATTGTTGATAAAAATGACTACATGTACATTAGTGACACAGCTAATCATTGTATTGTTCAATGGAAAATCGGCAAAGATTATGGCAGAATACTGGTAGGCAAATACCAAACATCTGGTATCTTACCAACACAATTTGATACTCCTACTTCAGTGAAACTCGATTCAAACTATAACTTATATGTTTGTGACTCTTCTAATCACCGTATACAAAAGTTCAATATTATTGAGTGTAATTGAATGTATTGTAGTATTAAAATGTTGGTTGTAGATAAGTTGGTTCTGAAAGGGTTAAGTGCCTAATGGGATTTTGTAGAGGAAAGAAAGCTGCATCCAACCATAGGATTAACCATCGCGGAAAGTTAAAGCGCATCATATATTTCAAAAACACTATACAGTGACCCTCTCCTCTGTGGACAAGTATCGGGC